TACTGAATATGAACTGAACAAAATAATCAATTGAAAAATATCAGATTGATAGATATTGACAGTTGTTAATAACTAATTTTTATAACAACAAACTTCAATTAGGAATAAGAAGCATGTTAAAAAGAAATTAAAAGGAACTTCAATAGAAATATATGTAGCTCATTTAAAAAGAATTAAAAGTTTCTCTGCTAAGAACTCTGTAATGTTGATTGTTGTCTTAAGAAAATGCATGGGGTCTTGGATTCGCCTAAATTCGCAGAATACCGAATGGAGAAAAAAGGGAGTTTGATAATCAAGAATCACTGGATAAGGATTTATTTCATGCCTTAATTCTTTAGACTAGAGTGTTTAAAAAAAATTGGAAAGTGAATATAATACATCATATCTGTTGAATCGCGATCACTGAGTCACATATTTTCTAATTCGGCACTGCTTATGAACAGCAATTTTTGTTGCAGTTTAATCAATCTTGTAGTAATACTTTGCCAAATTTGTGGTAAATAGATTTGGCCAAAATGATTTTTTCATATATCAGAGAGTTTTGTTCTATGTATCTCTACTTGAGTAGTAGGTAAATTTATTTTTTGGCGTGATATGAAATAAAGCTTTGCCAGTGTTTCTACAAATAGATGTACACAGATGGAAGGTTTAGATGGTTAGAATTGAGAACAGGTGGTAAATAAAATAAATTATATAATGTATAGGTTTTATCGAAGAGAACTGAAACAGCTTGTACAGTATATCTTGAAATTTAAAATAGAATTGTCCCATGATTATACCCAAAGTACCTTTAGAAATCTACAGGGCAACTTGCCAGTAAATATGTCATTTATATCGAACGCGACATAAACCTATAGTGTACTTCACTGGTAAATTCAACACTAAAAGGTAAATTAGACTTTTCCTAAATGCAATATCCTTTCATTAATTGATGTCATTTAATAATATAAATTATTCAATAGTCAAACTATCTATAAGTTAATGTTCTCTATAGAACAATTATTACCACTAGGCACTATTTATTGATGTTAGAAGGTCACTGTAGTATTAACTTTTGTTTAATGAAATGGGATTTAACGTCCTAGTGTTCAGCACCGACATTGCTAATGAAGACAGGTGTACGTCATGCAGTGTGTATGAGAGAAACTTTGCCTTGACAGGCTACGGCCTACTCTTATTTTGAATTCCAACTGTCAAGGGTTCTTTTACGGGCACCCCAATGCGTACACAGGACCTCAGTTTTTGTCCCATCCTAACAACTAGATGCTGTCCTCGGGCCGTCCGTCCTGCACCACTGACAAGGAGAAACCACCTTGGAAATTTTGGGGAACTTACTTTGCCACTACTGGGATCAAACCCTGGGCCTCCTGGTTAGTGAGCCAGCCCCTCCTCACTGAGCCACTGTGGCTGCCTATTAACTTTTGTATATTTATACATATATACAAATATTCTTCATGAATCAGTCTGCCCAGTATTGTTTGTATTCGCCTGTATTTTAACTAGTTCATTGTAGTCACCGTCCCTCTGTTGTCTGTCCACTCTGCAGGTCAGGGTTATTCAAATTTGCAACGATTTTTATTAACGTTTTAAGGAAGACTCACTATTGACATTTTTTAACTCTTCAATTGCCTGTTATGGACTTATATTTGTATCCTTCTGTTAAATGTCAAATTTATGAAGTCTGGTAATTCCGAGTTATTTGGGATTCATAGAATATGTTTAATCTAAATATAGATGACAACCCAATTTGATATATTTTGACATACATCAAATAGGTCAGCCCCCCCCCCCCCGATATTTATCAATTAGAAGCTAATACATCTACAAGTAATTTAGCTGAATTTAGATTAAAGAATTGTTGCTGTTTGGTCTGTTAAGATTGATTTTATGTTAATCAAGTATATTTGATGGATTGTTAGCCATATAAGAGTACATTATAAAAAGATTATTTAAACTGGTTGTTGGCATTTAGATCAACATGTATTAATAAGATGTTGAAGAAATGGGAAAGGATGCATGATACAGTACATATTTTGGGGAATTTTTCTAATACATGTATCTATCACTTTATAGTTATACCATTCAGTGAATTTATATAAATTCAAACGCACCCACTCTAATCAATAAACTTTTATTTGTATTACAAATAAAATACTGATAACGATATGCCGGGAAAAGAACGAAAGAAAATATGCAATTCATGCTCAATTTAAAGGAGCAGTTGTATATTTAAAGATGAATGTATGATTTTTGTAAAATTCAGGGGAAATTTAAGCGAAAGGGTTTAACATCCACTTGAAACAAACCAGGTCATTTGGGTACTAACATGGTACAATTTTACATCAAAAATTTGCATGTACATCTGGGTCTTTAGCAATGGGAGAAAATTAAAGCAAAACCACACCACTCGACTTAATGAGAGACATTTACATGTATGATCAGATTTGTGATGGGTCAAACTAACACGTTTCACACAATTAAAAAAAGTATTAGTATTTCTTTTAATGCAGTGAGTAAGACGCTGACATGCTAACCAAGAGGTTTTGGGTTCGCTTCTGGTGTTGGTTTTCCCTTGTCAGTGGTTCAGGACAGATGGATCTGACAAAGAAAAGTGTCTAGTTGTTCAGATTGGATGAAAAGTGAGTCCCCATGTACAATGTATACGTTGCTGTGCACGTGAAAGGGTTGATGTTATTACTCAATGCAAATTGCCTGGAAATCCTAGTTTTGCAATTTTGACCCATCATCTACCTGAAAATAAATGTTTGACTTACCATTATGTTTGCTTGTCGCCCACACATTCCTCATTATTTATTGAGAAATAATTAGACAGACTTCCCTTTATATCAAATCATTAACTTCATTGATAAACAATGACTTGATGTATATAAAAGGTCAACTTGTTCCTTCGTTGTTTAAGATGACAATCCAGACTAATCTAAATATTTGAGAAAAAGACAACCCATCCTGATCTTCACGAATGTTATTTCTAACGAATCTATGGTCTAATAATAGAATGAAAAGAAAATCATGAAATAGGGTTTTACTTCAGGCCAACAGAATACTTTACACTTATTTTGTATTTGTTATCTTTGACTTTTTTTTTTTTGAAACAATATTTTATAAACAATATTTTTATTCAGTAAATATTTGAACTTGGATTGGGGAACAGGCTATGTGTAACACCTCTCTCTGATTTAGATACACTACACAGTATAAATATATACATAAATACATAATTACATAAATACAGGTATACAACATATAGGATACATATATTGGATAATAGAGATATTTTTTTTTAATAAATATTTTAGTAGGTAGAAATTTATTCTGAAAGTACTGTTCGATAATGATTTTTGGGTATGGTAAGGCCTGCACAGCGTACAATCATCTAAAACCTCCTTCAATAATAAAGCAGGCATTGTTCAGTAGGGAACTGACCAAAAACAATGGCAGGAATGAGACTAGGGGTCAGAAAAGGTTGTATTAGGAGATTGTCAGACTCACTCAAAACCCTTCCTACTTTTATTATGTGAAATAGCTTTATTTTATGTCTGCTTCAACCAAAGTAATATCGCATGGATTTATCATCTCAGAATAGTGTTTATGTACTATGAGTGTGATGTAGGTGTTAATTATTAACTATTAAATAATGCCTTTCCCATCATTAACAGATGTGACATCATGTGTAGGTGGAAATGTTATGTTGCCTGGTAACTTTGAAGCTAGTTAATCTATCTATAGTGTGATTTCTAAATATATTATAAGTAATTATATATGTACATGTACTAGCTTCAATAAATAGTTATTTTAATGTAAGTACCTGGCCTGACCTGTTATTGTTTGATATCAATTGTTAAATAATATTTACCTTTACCTGTTACCCTGAATGTAGGTATGTTTAGTATGTTATAATGTAGTCCTATCATAGATTCAGTGTGTGATAAACTTGACAAAGTGTGTACACCTGTCTATGTGTTTAATTAACAACTGAACTATGTTTAATTATAAAGTGATATAAATTAAGCCACACCTTCAGAAACATCTGTAGCCTAAAAATTTTCATTCCTTTGTCTTTCAGGAAAGATTTATTTGGTTGTGCTGTTCAAAAGATTTTAGTTTCGAATTTTAAACAATACATCGTTCATGTGATTTAAGTGGCTATTTATTTGTCAAGATGCGGAAGAACTGTAAATTGTTCTGGCCTTAGTACATGTATAAATTTTCCATGGTTTCTCTATTAATTTTAACTTTCTTTAATACACTTATATTATATGTGGGCGTATTGGCGTCAAATTGGAGAGATTTTCCTCTGTTTAAGATCAAATTTAGGGGCTGCTGTCAACATTATATAGGACAAAGTTCTCCAGAATTTTTTGAAATTGTGGCAAAAGTTAGAACCTTTTCAAATATCCAAATGTTTAGATTGTAAATTTTGAAATTACTTTTTGTTTTGTTTTGTTATTTGCCCGTTCACATTTTGACTGTAAATATTTGTGGATGCAATAGAGAGAAAGATTCTCATTTCAAATTTAAAGGGTAAATTCGATAGAAATTCCAAAATTCCAGAATTATCCTGTTAGGTTCCATTTCATGTAATCTTCTAATTATGATACAGGACATTCTGAATAGAATTTTTTGAAACATGGTGGGATTTCATTTATATAATTGTATCTTTCATTTTGAATGGAATTAGCATTGTCTTCACATTTTAACTTTTAAAGCTTGGGTTCGGGTTCATAGTGGATTCTTTAAATGCTTGTAGATCTAATTATTTACAGCAGACAATTTGGAAAGCTATGTTTTGAAAAAATAATATTATAAGTGTTAGACTGCAGTTGTGAAGATTTACTGTGATCACATCATAGACATGCTTTTATTAGAGTATGGTAGATGTATGCACACTTATTGGGTTAAATATGGTAGTCATATATATTATGTACATGTATATATAATATGAATGATTATATTGATTATGTCCATGTTGTATTTTGTAGGCATATGGTAAGAGTAAAAGTTGTGTGTGTTAACTCTGATGGGGAACTGCCTGTCATGTTGTGAGGCTGATAGCCACCAGGGTTCTACCTTAACACCTGGTACACAACCTCTGCAACAGGTTCAAAGGTCTCGTGGCTTAGTTCAGTATCCAGCCACAGAGTTTAAAGAACTCAAAAGACCTGTCAGCACTGAAAACCAAAACCAGAGTCGTGTCTTGGCGCCACCGACTGAGAAAAAAATGTTTCCACAGTATACAAAAATCCCTCCATTGAAAAAACAAGGTAATGGTGAAACCAAAAGACTTTCCTTTGTGTCTAAAGATATTTCAGAGGCAAAGATACTTCAACTGTACGAACAGTATAAAGATCCGGTCGAAGAATTGATTTTAGCAGAAGGTATTGAACATTTCTGTCAAGATCTGGAAGTAAAACCAGAAGAATTTATTGTTTTATTAATTGCATGGAATTTTAAAGCTGAAACAATGTGTAAATTTACCAAAGACGAATTTGTAAACGGTTGTAAGAATCTCAAAGTTGACTCCATAAAAAGCATACGCTCTAAGTTTCCAGAATTGGAGGCTGAGATGCAGAATAAACAATCCTTTAAGCATTTGTATAAATGGACGTATAAATTTTGTTTGGATAATGACAGTGGTCAAAGGACGTTACCCGTAGATGTGGCTATTAGTCTGTGGAAATTAGTATTTACCGGTAGTGAACCAACATTATTAGAAGATTGGCTAGAATTCCTGGAAAAACATCCCACTATTAAAGGCATTCCAAAAGACACATGGGATATGTTTCTTAATTTTGTAGAACAAGTCGGAGATGATTTAAGTACTTACGATGATACAGAAGCATGGCCGAGTCTCTTGGATGACTTTGTGGAACACGAGAATGATAAAAAGAATCAAAATGTGAAAACTGATTGACGTGTTTTTTCTAAATTATCTGTGTGCTCATACATAAAATTGTGCTCTGTTGTTTTTTGGAATGATCATAGTACATATATAAAGTTGGAAGGAAAAAATGGTAAAAGGATAAGTTCGCTCACAGTTATACATTTTCAGCGGTTGTAATCTAGAGAAGGAAAGAGCTTAAATTGTGTACATGTATACACTCAACATTTTGGAACTAGCTAACATATTGTACAATTTTATTTCAATAAGGGTCTTTAGCAGTGGGAAAATAGTGGAGGACCCAGAGAAAACCCACATGATTCTGGTTGGGCAGGCAAACCTACTCCTTGTCACGCCCCTTGACTGAATGACAGACCTTATGATCTAACGTGTACATGTTAGACCAATGTTCCATGTTCCCTGTTTTATCTTAAAGAAAAACAACAGGGTAATATTCATTATTTGTCACTCTTTCTGAAGACTGAATGGGTCTGTTAAATAGAGTTATCCCCCTTTATTGCAATCCTAGATGTACATGTCACAATCAGTGACTGGTCATTTTGTAATAATATATATATTATTAGTCCCACACATTAAGTATAATGATGATTGTTTGTTTCATTACAAACTAGTCATAGCCCTGTATTCATTTTTTTAGAAAACCTGTGACACTGTTGTTATTATAAAGAACATAGCTAATGACTCAAAGTCACCTACTTGTGAAGGTATAAAAGTATAGTATTAATCATTCATATTAATCATATATCCTTTGTACTTTAATATCTTAAACAATTCTTTTCTTTCTCAATGACAAATATAAAAAAAACAAGCTTATCCTTGCATTGTAATGTTACACATGAAGAAAGCTCTCCTGTGTGTGTGTGTGTGTGTTTGTCTTTATTTTTGTTTGCTTGAAGGGAAACAACACTCTTTTTTGATATTTTATAAAATTAATTCAGTTGGAAATTCTCTACATCATAAGATAAATTGACATTATTAAATTATTGTGTGGTTTAAAAAATTCTTCATGGTTTTTTTTTTAGGTTGGTCGGGGGATGGGGTGGTTAGAGGGAGGGGATTGGACTGCTTATGAACAAAAATATCCTCTAAACAGAGTTGTTTCCCTTGGATTTTGTATTTAATTTATTCGTCCTTTGGTCGATATGCAATATTTAATGTACAGAATAAGCTTACCTATATTTATGTAATACTTCAAAAGTATTCTTTTAAATTGCTTGCCATGTGTTTTTCAAGGGTTCTTTGAAATCCATTTAATATAATTCCATTGACGCATCTATTATATGTGTGTAATATACTACTTTTTGAGAGGGTTTAATGTCCTCTAATTTCTCATGTATATAGTTCAGTGCTTAAATGCGTACATACCTGTAGGGTAAAATGTCCCATGTTAAACCTGGCAGCAATTTATTAATTAAAGCTCGAGTTAACGTAATTTTTGATCGCTTCTTAATAATCATTATTTGACAACTACCAAACAAATTCAAAAACAAATTCAATGCAAATCAATCAGTCTGTTTGTACAGTATATTGACCCTTCTTTAACTGAAATTGATTTTTTATTTAAGAATTGAGTTTAGAAGCTCATTAAAAATAAATAAGTTATAAATGATGGCTCAATACTTTAATTCTTGAATGAATGTATGTAATGTAACAACAAACACCTCTATAGAGCCCCTGAAATCCAATAGAATGTGCTGCCCGTCTGGACAATTATGTTTCACACTTTAGTAATAACACATAAAACAAACGGCAACAAAAACAAAATTAGATATGCAACCTATTCAAAACAGTTCAAGGATGTCAATGTGCTGCAGATTTCATATAACAGACTGGAATATACTAAAATCCATCAAATACATATTGTAGCATTAATGATGTAATTGATACAATACATATACATGTAATTACAAACATCAATTTACAGAAATTCTGCCTAAATACAAATGCTTAAATATCTCTAATTATTTTCACGAAAGGGCTTAATTTGGCCTGTAAAAAAACATCTCTTTGGACACATTTGGCAGGGCTGCAGACCTCAATTTTCTGCCTGATGCTCTATTGTTTACAAAGCATTAAAGTTGAGAAATTCAAAATCCTTAAATTATGGATTTATCTGGAATAAGAGAGCCACATATGGTCCTTAGTGATTACCACCACAAAATGGGGTGGAATTTTGTATTGTATTTCAAGATTTAATATATGTAAGTATTGGTACATCTATTTTGATAATTATACATGTATGGTATTCTGTGGTTTTATAACTTTTCATTTTATGTATAAGACATTTTGTTTTAAACTGAGATGTTCAAGTTCATCCGTTATCGGCCAATAATTTTGTAAATCTTTATGAATGGAATTTCACAATTTCTCTTTTTGTATTTTGAGGATTTGCACCTTATTGGTAAACCTTTCCTTCAAAATTGACAGTTGTTAAGAACTTCAAATAACTATATACAATCTTGCTGAATATAAGGGTAAGCACATTAATCCAACAGACTAAAGCGCTTACGGTTATCTCATATCCATAAGAGGAATATTTAATATATTGATAAACACTAATTGGCAATCAAGCCCACTTGTCAATTGGAATAAATTTATACAGCTTTTTTTTTAACAATCTAATATAGATATATGTTTGATACTCTGCTTTAAATAATCCTGTATTTTGCAGCTTTTTTTTTATTGTTTATGATATATGTACTCATTGTCATTTATATTTCATTTACTTGTATCAAAATACAATCGTTAGTTCTCAGTGTAACTGGGTGTTATTTATATTCAAGTATATCATTCAACACTTCATTTTAAATTGAATGATCAAATTTAAAGGCTTGATGCATCATTTAGCTCTATAGGAATCCCTTGCAAACTACAATATTGTGAAAGCTTAGTCTCTAATAGGAATAACAGCCCAAATATCGGTTCCATTCCGTTCAGTATTTACAAAGTTATGATAAATGGAAGTTTCATTGATTTATGCTGCTCAAGCATAACAAGATGCCACCATCTTTTTTTGGTAGCGGGGAAACCTGATGGGCCTAGTTTAGACCCAATTGAATCCAAGTCATGACATTAACTAGCATTGGTATTTCTTAATTAAAGTTAAATAATCAGTCTGAGTACATATTTAATGTGTATTAAGGCCATGAGAAAATTGTTATTTTAGCAAAAATGTCGGATCAAGCCTTTAAACCATAATGAATTGATTAAAATTCTGGAAAGAAAAATGTCGCGAACGTGCTTATGTATTAACCTAAGTTTAAAATTTGTTAATCTAGAAATTTTTTAAAAATATGATGTATATATATATATATATTAATTCAGAATGGATGTTTTTATGAGAAATTTGATGCTGTGTATGCGATTCTTAAAATTGGCCCCTGCTTTGTGGAATATTTATTTCTCTTTCTGTCCTAATATGGTGCTATATTTTTTTAAGTAAAGGTAAGCATCATCCTTTATCACTTCATTCCATATTTGTTCATTGTCATATTGTCTTGTTAACTACAGTGTTTTTGCGAAATTTGGATTGCTATAGATATATATAGTTGTATGGATTGCTGTATCAGCCAAAATAGTTATATTGTTATTTAAGGATAAATAAGGATCAGCAACACCACTCCATGAGTTTTAAAAAGATAAGTCAAACCAATTAGATCTGAGTAACTACTAGATCATAAAATGGTGTAGGTGGAGAGAAAACGCCCCAGATATGAAGTGTTGTCCCTGCTAAATAGAAATACAGCAGACTTACTTGACTTTTTAGATCTTACGACTCTTTATGAATTTGTTAATGGATCATACAAGGAATAAAACAGGATGTTGTAATATTAACAAAAATCTCATGTAATATGTAATAAACACTTCTTTTATTTCAACATCTCAAGACCAGAAACATCATGTAATAAACTCCTGTCTGATGTACATGTACTTCTGTGCATTGGGGACTAAATTATGTTTTAAATATCCTTATAAAAATGTAGGTTTCACAAAAATGCCTTCATATAAAATAATTATAATTCTTTTATTTACATGCATGTACTTGAGAGATTTAATTATAGACATATTCTAGAAACTGGTAGTTCATAGCTACAATATGTTACATGTGAATTGTTATCACAAGTAATTGCTCAGTACTGCTGAAAACTACTACAAACATCTTGTAAATTGTCCCAAACATTTAGATCTAATGTGGTAATGGTGTCTGGTCATGAATACCAAAATCATCACTTCACAATTATTGTAAGTAAGAAATGGTGTTAAATATGGGATAGCATATTTCTAAATACAATATAGACCTCATGGTAGAACTCATTGGCTACAGTGGGGTGGTGTGTCCAGTCCTACGAACAAATATAGATTCCCATAGGCATTATATTGATGCCCTTGATTATAACATGCACAGATCTTGCAGGGTTATAGAGAAGGGTGTTTGTTAGATGCACATGCATTTTTGTAAATTGATAAAAATAAACAAACACACAATAAATGTTTTTGTGTGTGTTTTTTTGTGTAGAAACTTATATTAATCTTGTATTGTATGAATCACACTTATATTTACTGTACTGTGTACATTTATTATTGTAAGATTTTATTTAATGATTATTAAGTATTCTTTGTGTATGATGGTTATACTATGGAATTGTGTTTTTATTATTATGCTTTAAAAAGTAGTGTTGTATAGTGTTTAATTTTATTTAATTTAGTTAGTTATAAAAAGATAATGGGTTTTTAAGCTATTCATTTGTTTATTAATACAATAGGATCTTTTGGTTAATAGGCTATGGCAATATTTATGCTCAAACTAAGAATTATAACTTCAAGAGACAGTCCCTCCAGCTATAATCTGAAGTAAAATGGATAATGAATTTACAACTAATATATTAATTGGATTGCATCTGTAAATATAAAATAATGTCCCTGAGAATACTTTTAATGTATTTGTAAATAGTCACTCTTTAATTGCAAAATAGTTGCTATCGACAGGTCACATCTTTAAACATATTTTGATATTGTGAGTATTTGAGAGGCTGTCACTTTGAGAAGAAAACTGCTGAACAGTTTCATTGTTTCTTTTAGACAATCATTCGGCATTGTCATCAGGTAACAACATGCAATTCTTATCCATAATCTGTGTGATAAATAAAACAGTTTGAATGTATTAGATTATTATTGTTAGTGGAGAACAAGAACAAAGGGATAAAAAAATCCATGCTAGTAACTGATTGTAGGTACTCATTAAAAGTATTTATATAACATTAATGACTATTCTTTACTGGAGGAGATACTATTTTTAGTACATTAATGCTATATTTCAACCAAAAATCCTAAACTCATACTTGTCTTTATATTTTTTTTTTATACTGTTGCTCATTTATTTATTTTATTATTGGGGATATTAACAGATGAGTAATGTTTTCAGTTCAACACAAGTGATATTTCAAGAACATTGACCTGTTTGCCAAATTTGTTGGACTGACCTTCAGTATTTCATACTAGTCACATTTATAGAATATAAGATCCAACCACAATGAATTAACATCTAACTAAATTTTCAAAATATATTAATTGATATGTACTAGAAATGTGTTGCTTATTTTCTATTAATAAACTGTGATGAGTATAACTCAAGGATCACACTTCCACTGTTGATCATCATACAGTGTATAGATGACATTGGAGATCAATGTCCTTCATGATATGAACTGTTCAATATATATGCATATCATTTACATTTTTTCAACCCACACGAAAACTACCCTATAACTTTATATTGTAATCATTAATATCAGTATATAAGCTTGTATCATCTAGTCATCATTATGTCTTTCTGTTGTAGTTTTGTCTTTGTAATAACGATGGTGGTTCTTATATAATCGTAGTGCTAATATTAGCCCCCTGTAGTAACATCATTGTTCAGCACGTTGTAGTTTAAGTAATGCTAGCAGTTCAAATAAATCTATTTTATTTATGCCAAATTTATGCGTCTTCTTTTTGAATCGCCAAATCCATGCTGTCAAAATGGCTCAACGTGTTGTTGATCTCGAGACGGCACTGGGTTGCGAATGGACAAGGAGGAGACACGCCCACATACTACACGTACTTAGTAAATGGAACCCAAGTAGGTAGAAGAGACTGAATTGAATTACAAGCAGATCAAACACCAAGCGCCATATCCCATTATACTGTTTCAAGCAAGAGAAAAGGGTTGATAATCCAAAAGTCATCCAAATTGCAGACACGACTATCAATGGTTGGAAAATTTTAAATTTGATCACTGTTGATATCCAGTCATTGTGAAATAAAACCGATGCCAAATGTAGCTCACCGCTTGTATTTTACCTGGTGTATAGACAGGTAACTCTACATATGTTGCTGGAGAATCCATGGCAGATAATATCAACACTAGTTCTAACGACCAGAAATCAAGGCTTGTACTTGGTTGTTTAATTACAATGTGACAATACGCCAATGATACGAGCTAGTTTTACTATGAATTTTGTTCCGAGGGGCATTCACAGTCCGAACTATATTAATACTTCGCTCCGTTTCATTGTCACCCACATTTCGAAGAAATGAAATGAAATGAAATGAAATGGGGTTTAACGTCCTATTGTTCTGCTCCGACTGGGTTAATGAAGACGGACATCATACAGTGTGCGATGAGGGAAATTTTGCCCGGGCAGCGGCACTATGGCCTACTCTTATATCGAATTCCAACTGCCAAGGGATCTTTTACGTGCACTCCAATGTCCTATCCAAATGACAAGACAGCTGTCCTTGTCAGGCCCTCCGTCCTGCAACACTCAAGGGAAAACCACGTCGTAAAATCCCGACGAACTTTTTCAGCCAATGTAGGGATCGCTTTTTGAAGAAAGCAGGGGACTATTAAATTCTTTCTGTCTGTCCGTCACACTTTTTTGGGACATAATAACCCTCTTTCTAATTGAGCTAGAATGTTCAAACTTGGTGTAGGTGTTTATTAGGTGAATGCTTTGATTGAGTTCGAAGATGGGCATTTTCTGCTTCGGGTAAATAGAGATAAGCAAGTTGGTTGATGCTTTGGGGCACGATTGGATAACCTTAGCTCTAATTAAGTGATGAAACTTGGTATATAGTTTCAATACATCAATACCTTGACTAAGTTCGATAATGAACATTTTCTGCTCAGGGTAAGCAGAGCGATAAGCAATTTGATTTGTCGAGACTTTGGAACACAAAAACCCTCCTAATTGAGCTAGAATGTTTAAACTTGGTGTTCTAGGCATTCATTTGACGAACGCCTTGATGGGGTTGAAGATGGACAATTTTCTGCTTCGAATAAGCAGAGATAAACAATTTGATTGGTTGATTCTTTGGGACACGATAACTTTAGTTCAAGTTAAGTGAGAGCGACGAAACTTGGTATATAGTTTCATTACATCAGTACCTTGACTAAGTTCGATAATGAGCATTTTCTGCTCGGGGTAAGCAGAGCTATAAGCAATTTGATTGGTCAAGACTTTGAAACATAACAACTCTGCTTTTAATTGAGGTTGAACTTGAAGTAGATGTTCATTAGGTGACTTATTTCAATGATTAACATTTCCCACTAAAGCTAAGCAAAGCCAAGCAGTTTCATTGGTCGATGCTTTGGGACAAGATCACTTTGTTGGTAACGGATGGAGCGTGGTGAAACTTAATGTATAGTTTCACTACCAGATACATCAAGACCTTGAGTGAATTTGATTGTGAACATTTTCTAGTTAGACTATGTATAGATAATCATTTTGATTGCTCAATACTTTCGAAAAAATGTGCAATTAATCAATATTTGTCATCCATTTATTTTGGGATTTCGGCGGGGGACATCAGCCTCACAATTGGCTTGTTCACATTTCGTTTTAAGTTCTCACATAAACCCCACCTTAAATAAAAAGACAAAAATCGATCAAAAAAGATAACACCCTATCAACTTATATTATCTATAGACTAGAGCCATTGTCCAAGTAGCTAATCTTTCTGGACTGGAGATGCTTCCTTTTATAAATGCGACATATCTCGATCCGGGAGTAAGTAAGGCAAATACCCCTTTTAACATGTTCAATTGGAGACATCTATACACAATTTCAATTAATTTGGTAAATGAATTAAGTGGAGTTTTTCGGTGCATGTAAACAGACTGTTCTTGTTAATTCTTACTTTCCTAGATATACAGTTCCATATGTAAATAGTTAATGAGATAAAAAGAATTCCAAGAAAAACGCCGTAAGGTCAAAACAACTTTTCCAATTGACATTACAGGTTGATTCATATAAAAAGGAACATGTTTATTTGAGGTGCTCTTTATTAAAATTTTAAACTGTATCTCGATCTTCAGAAGAACATCTTCAGGCAAAGCATTTTTATCACAATTAATTTGTATCATTTACGTAAACCCTTGTAATGTTTATTATGTAGAGCTTTGGGAGTGCCCTTATATACCGCAGATTTTCTGGTCAATTCTCCATCTGTTTTACCGTAGTTAATTTAGAGACAATGCCCGCTGTCTAGAGGTTCACTGTCGCCGGTAAATATTTGTTTACTTACTTTGGTTTAGAGGGGGTGGGGCGTTCCGTCACTATTTCAAGTAAATCAAAACTTGCAATATCTCATCTAGAGAAAATGAGAAAGCTAGTCTTCAAGTTATGATTTTGCGCCATTTTCACATTTAAAAAAAAATAGAAAAAATAGCCGCTTTTATTACGTGAATACATGTTGATAGTAACAACAGAATGGCACAATATCTCCGTTTCTTCCACGACCAATGGCGTAGGCAAAATAACTGGAAGTCATAATTTCGGCCATTTACTAAATTTGGTTAAATTGCATATCAATAACTGTATCGTATTTTATTGTTATAACAAGCATTAATTTAATGTTTTCACTGATATTTAAGCAAAAATAATTCTGAAAAAGGGGGATTGTATTGATTGTACTTGGAAATCATGCATTGATTTATCGAGTAGTCTTTCGTCGATCATTAAAACTTTTAAATTTCTTTTTTCAAAATAGCAAGCACTGTTCAGTGACCGGTATTGTTGCATTGTTTGCCAACAGAACTTTATCTTTACTAACATAAGACTATTGTTTTTCTCCCGAAGTGAGACTCATTTATTTATTTATATATACCAATATTACAATTCTAACAAGCACCATAGAGAGATAATGAAAACAAGAGCGACACATTTTGCAATAAGAAGGCATATTCGCCTGTTGTAAACAGAATATTTCTTGGCCTTCATGGTGTGATTCTCTGTTAAGTCTCGTAATAAAGGCGACATTCGTCTCACGGACTGAAGTTCTTTAGTGAGATTATCATTAATCTGTTGCATGGATCCACCTGTCAGACTTCTATTGACAGCTTCCGCTTGGCTTTCTAGTTCAGACAATTGAATCATTGGCTTCAAATCTCGTTTACGATTTCTCAAAGCAGAAACGACTGGTATGCTTTTTAGTTCTGAAAAATATAATACAAAACATTATAGATGATCCATACCAGGACATATTACGAAATTGTGGGATCCTAGTCCTAAGGCAAACACAACGTGGGGTCCTGTGAGAACAAAACACCCAAATTATCAAATATATTAGCTGCCATCTCATTTTAGATACATTATTTCCCTTTTTTCTAGATGATTCATTAAGCAAGTTTATTTAACTCGAACAGTGAAAGGATTTATAAAAGAAAAATATCAAAAAGATAGAAAGATGCGAAAATATATTCAGGATTAATATGATTTTCAGAAAACGAGAGACAGGGAGCGAAAGAAATGGGGTTCAACGTCCTCGGGACCCGCCACTGGGGAAAGGGTGTGTGGACGTATGTACTATTTATATGACAAACTATTCAAATACCTGCAATCTCCATTTCCTCGTTCCATGTTGATGTATAAACCGTATCTTTTACTGGTGTTTTTATATATCTATTCGGTCTATCTTCCCATCTTGCATAGTTATCACCATATACAATAACCCATTTAAATTCTAAATCCTGACCGGCGGGCAAACTCACTGCAAAATAACAGTTGTATTGATAAGGACCGAAATTTGTTAAATTCACCTTTTCATTGGCTGGAAGTTAGAATCAAAGTAGAAATATCAGTTCTTAGCCAATGAAAAGATTGTTGCCTTAAAAACATTTTAATTTGACCACCACGATTTTCCGCATGTGATTTCTTCCCCTGCTCTTCGACCATACTGAAAACGATGGCAAATTTATTCTTGGAATAAATCTGACTCCATATTCTTGCTTTCAATACAATCCAAATTTTCTGGGGAAAAGTAAAGTATAACAATATAAAGCTTGTAAAATGGAGGATAAAGCGTTGTAAATAACTTGTAAAATTTGTTGGAAAGGAAGATACATAAACACTATAAATATGGCGTTTCAAACTTCCTTAAGATTCACACCTCCCACCTCCCAAAACAAAACAAATCAACCTGGCGTGCTTGTTTCTTAATCTTTTTCTTACCTTCTGCTTCCCACGTTCCTTCTGGGTGTTGATTGGCGTGAATGCCTTTTGTTGGGTTCCATGCACCAAACTCGGACAGAGAACCAACTAAAGCCAAGCATCCATGATCAGTAGTGGCATAGTACGTTCTGAATACTAGATTTACCATCTTATAAGAATGGTGTGGGCGGCCTAGATGACTGTGATCAAGTCGGAAGAAGCCACTAGAAATGACGTCAAATTATTATTAAACATAACGTCATAATTAAGATTGATTCCAGAGCTCCCCATAGTGACGTTGCGCATAAAACAGTCGCATAATCGGCAGTCCGGTCAGGATTACTGCACGCCCACCTGAAACTTTGTCGCACAGATATGTTATACATTTAACTGTACATTTACTGACCAACCCCTACAAGTTTAGGAAAAAATGTATTAAGAACACGCAGAAAATAGCGGTGACAAGGACTTTAATGGCCCCATGATCCCGTACATGCATTTCGAAATGTTTCTACGAACTGTGATCACAGAAGGCTTGAAACATAGTTTTAAAACAAAGTTTTTAGTCGCAAATTCAATTAACCTGTTATTAATTGTCACAAAATTCAAAAGTTCGATGAACTTCGTGGACAAAATCTAAGATTTATAAGATTCAGACATAGCACGATCGTGTAGCAATAGCATAGTGTTGGTTGCTGTGGCTATATGCGTTTAACTGCCGCTTCCACAGTAAGTGACAATCTCAAAGCATACGACCACTTTGCAAATAAAATTATCTTCACTATTGGGTGTTTTGAGACAAATCAGAACACTTCACTTGCAACAGATTGTGCTGGTTTAAAAACCCGCTTGAATCTTAATTTACAAAAGACTTTCAGTGATTTCATGCAACAATTTTTTTTATGTTATATACGGTATCGCCTACGGTGGCAGTTTGGGGGTTAGCAGATGTTACGACAAGTTGTAATTTAAAGATAAATAAATGTAACCTGTACATTATAAACAATACATACATTTTAGATAAACTTGCTTCACCCGTGTATAACCACTCGTCTTTCTTCAACATCTTTATAGTCTACATAACATCTAATCTACCACCGATAGTGAACACAAATGTAAGTGAAATTCGCAATCCCAGGAAAGTATACTATATTTTGTGAGACAGGTGAGCCCACGTTTTGTGTTAATGAAAGTTTCAGTGTTCGAGATTTTGGAAATTAGATGCTCATTCTGGAGATAGTTGATAAAATGCTTCTCCCTGATAACATCTTAATTAACGCAAATTAAAACGTAGTCAAATAACTTGAAAACCAAACTCCTAGGATGAGAATTAAATTTGATCTACATTGCGATATAAGAGAAATTATTCTGCCGTGTAAATAACTCAATTTAACACTTAATTAAAGAGACTTTATTTATCATTAAATAAGGATTGTTACTTTACACAAGTAGACATGGCTCAATAGAATTAATTAAAGAGACTTAATAACGAATTAATTCATCATGGGAAAAGGATTGTTACTTTAAGCATGATTTTAATATTTCTTGAATTTATCTTGTTTATTTATATTTCTTACATTAGCGATTCGTCGTTATTCATTATACTTGAGAAATGTTTTCAACACCTCTCCAAAAGCTCTGAGATCTATGATTTATGACTCGTCTTTTAATGGCTCACGAACAATCCATAGCAGTAACATCATATCTAAATACATTCATACATATATATATAAAAAAATAACTCATATTATAGAACTTACTTAAAGCATTAATAGACCACGTGTTTATACCTGTCTATGTTGTGGTAGAAACAAGATTGGAACTAAACAAACCATTATAATATGGCATTGTTTGGTACAAGTGATAAATGATTTAGAAGAAAGTGAGTTTGTGATAGTAGAAGATTAGTTTAAGAATCCAGCAATTCCACCTGTTTATCTACATGTTCTTTACAGCTCTACGGCAATCTACAATGTAAACATTTTATTAGAGGACAAGTTGTGTTTGAATTGTGGACTATATATCACCGCGGATTAAAACAAAGCAGCTGTGACTAAACTGTGTTATCATAAATGGAAATTATTTAAAGGGAAATAATGAATGTTTAGAAATATGACCTATTTCGTCTTTTTTTTCACTGTTATGTAACAAATATTCAACAATTATTTATAATCAAAATTTGAGTTTCAGTATTAACTCTTGGCGACGATCGTTAAAAACAACACACCGTCAGTAATCCCGACAATATTTTCAAATATATTATGTTGAAAAATGTAAAATATTTGAGGATATCCTGTTTTACTTACTGATAACTGCGTTAATGTTTTCATTTGTTGAGTGATTTGATTAAAACAAAGGTAATCTACAAATGCAGTGCAAGTAATAAAAATACAATGACAAGTGAATATCATTAGTAGCATGAGGTGAACTAACGGAACCATGGTTATCTGGTTGGCAGATAGAATAGACTTGTTTCTATTCTGTGGTTTACGTCTGAAACAAGTGAAAGCATTCGTAAGATTGGATAAAAATGATAAGAGATATATGAGAGATTTATATGACCGACCAATGCTTTTAAATATAAAACCATGCGCTGTCTGCCTTTCATTATAATTCCGACAAAAGGTTGATCGTCAGTTCAATACCACAGAATTCTATAAGAACATCTTACCTGAAATCTCTTGCAGGAACCACTTGCATTTAAATACATCCTCGTTATCGGATATTCAGTGCGAGTTAAATTGGCGGGAAAGTTAACAGCTCCCTTGCACCAGACGTGTGGCATATATAATTACCGGACTTTCAGCACGTCACAGGTTTCATGTTATCAATGAAAAAAATTGTAGAAAATGCGCCTCGTGCCTGTGGTATCTGCTGTCGTAACAGACCGCCCAAAATGTCAAAAAGTAGACTAGATATAAAGGAAAGAAACAATTTGGTCATTTCACTGTAGAATTACAGCGTATCTTTTTGTTTTAAGCCATCTTGTAAGAACAAACGACTTATTTGGAAAGTTGGTGTCAAGAATATTCATAATTCCCGTCTGAAGATGGCTTGTCGTCTTGTGCACTATCTGGCCTTGGCGACCATCTTACTGATGCCCAGATCAGCTGTCACCCGTCCCAGTCAAATTGTAGGAACATCGAACATTAATAACACCGAATCCGTGACACTATTTGAGGACATTGATGAGTATGATCTGGACGAGTATGATCTGGACGAGTATGATACTAGTGACCAAAATTACGACGGGGATCTAAGCTTGGATGATATAAGTAATACTCACGGTAATCTATTCCAAGGATTACCAGAGTTAGAAGTTGAACTGCCGATAGATGTACCGGCTTCCGATCCTACCGAAAGTGAACTTTATTCTGAAACGGAAACGTTACGTCTTAAGAGTCCGCCGAGAAAAGCACCTGAATATATGTTGGATTTATATGATATGCTCTCTAAAGAAGAGATTTCAAATCCATCAGCTAATATTGTGAGAAGTTATATGAATATTAATGACGACGGTAGGTAGTGCTATATATAAATATTACATAACTTTAATTGTTTGTAAGTAATGGATGCCAAAAATTAAAAACGAATACCAAAGTTTAAAGACATAATTATCAGATACATGTATTAGACCTACTACAGTTTACTGTAGCCCTAATTTCTTTCAATATAATACCTTCTACGTTCAAAAAATAGGTTGCAGTAGTTATCCTTGTTGAAATCGGGGAATTTTTTGAAACATGTGTAATAAGTTAAATTGCGACGTAGAGTATCGATTCTTATCTGATATTTCCTTGTATTATTTTGTTTGTTTATGTCAATATCGGTGCAGTCAAAGATATAGGTTCAAGTAGTTATCCCTGTTGAAACCACAGCTTAAGCTATTCTACCCACCAACACATCTGGAATGGCAAAATCTTTAAACAATAGCCAACATTCGTATGTTCGCAGCGTATTGCAATTTTGATATGGACTTATTTATATAGTTTAATTCTCGCAGTGCGAGCTGAAGAACGTGTTGGAAAGTTACATAAATTTAAAGTCTAACGTACGAAAAAAGGGGGTGAATTACTTCTACACCGTAGTCTAATTAGAGCGGAGGGACTATATATACGAACACATTAAGATAAGATAAGCTTTCCTCGTTGATCGCTTAACACATCGAAAGTGACAGCAAGTGGTTTTCTATTTATATTTTCTAAGTCAAAAATGCTTTTAAGAAAGAAACTATTATGTAACTGGTTGTGCGATACTGTTGATTTTCGTCTTTCGGATAGCGAAATATATGATGGGTGGCGTATGTGAAGAATTTCCAGCACACCATTGCCAGAACAAATGATGCCATACCGTCGTGGGTTAGGCATTATAACAGACATCTGGTTTAACAGTAATTTTAATGTGATTGACATGTATGTAAGGCACTGGTAAAATTAAAAACCTGAGTGCAAAATCATAAGAGAAAATTTTTGTTAATACTGCCATTGTTCTGCTATAGTTTTCACTGGATTTCTTTTCTTACTGCTTATAAATATGATTCTTTTTAAGAAGATATTTTAAAAATTGTAAAGTGTATTTCCCAGAATTGCTATAATATATCGAGATATACTCGAAGAAAGCTATTGCATATACGGTCATTTAATGTCACAATCCCAAATTTCTCAGGCCATCGTAAATAAAAATGGTTTTGAATTTACAAACCACAGGCTAAAATGTGTCGAAAGAGTCTCTTTAAGTATTTTAATGCCTTCCGGAAATGATCGCTTGCCCGTTTTCGCCGGCCTCTTGGATGGCTCTGTGCTAGTGGACGTGCAAGAACCCCTTAAAATACCATTAAATGGATTCGGTAAAAAGTCAGACATTTCACACCAGGGTAATATTTTCCTAGTGTTAATTTATTAGGATACAATTCGGATTGAAATTAAATGTTTAATGTACTACGGAGCCAGTTTAGTTCATTGTTCAAACGTTATAAACTAAACTGGACCACGTTCTTGTTCTAAATGCATTGTTATGTAGTTTTAGCCTATAAAAGAAGTCAAAATGCTAATAAGAAAGAGAGAAAAGCAAAAAAAAAAAAAAATATTTGAAAGCTCTAAATACTAGGCCGGTTTTTGACCTTTGATTCCAGTGTTTTATTATGTTATTGTACTCCTTGGTATTTGTACAAAGACAAATTAAACATAAACCATGGGAAAATCGACTCCAAGAGATAATCTAAGATTCTTCTATAAATACCAAGACTGCCCCACTAGCCATAGCTTAGTCAGTTTAAAGATATTTATCCTCAACAGCCGCGATCCAAAATACATGACCATCAATTGAAAAATATATTTGCTACCAGAAACGTTATATCTTTCGAGATACTTCAAGGGAAGCCTTTTTAACGTTCTATAATATTATTATAATATATTTTTAACGGAGCCGCTATTATGTATTACGCGCCTAAAAGGGAGCCACGGTGGCTAGGTGCATGGCTTAGACGCTGGCTCGCTAGCCTGGAGGTCGGGTGTTCAATCCCTGCATTGGCCGAGAAAGTTCATCCTGATTTTCCGACGTGGTTTCCCCTTGTCAGTGGTGCAGAACGGAGGGCCTGACAAGGACAGTTGTCTAGTCCTTCGGAAGAGACGAAAAACCGAGGTCCCGTGTATACATTAGAATGCACGTAAAAGATCCCTTGGCAGTTGGAATTCGATATAAGAGTATTAGCCCAGTACAGGAGCAGAACAGTAGGACGTTAAACCCCATTTTATTTCATTTCATTTCATTTCACGCGCCTAAAAAGATGATTACATGAACGATGGCGTTGGCGTGATGTATATGCCAAGATAGTTCGCTAGGTTCAGTGGTTCTAACATTATACGGTTAATTTGAGTGGAAGACATGTTCTAAGGCCTAGTCAAAATACGTTTAGAGGTTCGAACAGATGACCTAATTATGCTTGAGAAGAACATTTTTCAGCAAATTGGAACTTTAAACTGCGTAGCAATTAGCTTCCATAAGTGTCTCAATATTTCACAGTTTGCTATATTTTAAATCCTACCCCTGTTTGATATGGGTCTAACAAAACTATCAATTTCATTGGATTTTGTATCGGACTACAATTTGTTTTAGCTAAAATTTTTACGATCACAAATATAACGACAAAATGCGCTTTAAATGAACTAAAATTAGTAAACAATCCGACTCCCGATTTAATTTTCGAGACAAATATTTCATCATTCAGAGCCAATCAATCATTAATCCAAATGAAACATCAGATCCGGTAGCGCTTCGGATTCCGAAATCCACTCTCATTGTTTCGGTCAAAACCCTATAGCTACTATCAGTAAATCCTTCTCATTTGTTAACAGTTTTTTTATTATGAACCATGCTTTCATTAAGTATAATTGGGTCTTTGGGGTTATTATTAATATTTAGAAAAAATACCGGAAATCTACGCCTACTTTTCGTCTAAAAATCTATTTCCAAAAATAACGGTTCAAATCCTTATAGGGTGAGTAGGTAGACGTAATGACTTCACAGCAATGTTTCCTGTAACCACCATTCAGATTATAAAATTGGCGCGAATTCGTCTTTCTATAGCAATGTATGGTGATAAGCATATCAAATAATTTGCTAAAGGTGATAAAGAAAACAAAATAGGTAACAACACGTGTAAGTTAATTGGCCAGAAGTGCTAATACTCACGTTCACTCTCTCGTGGGGAACCTCATAAACACTTTATTATCATTTTAAAGATCACATGAATAACTTTCTATTCAATTTGTCAAGAAAATAGAAAGAAAGTGTGATAAATCGAAACAGGAAATGCCAGTAGCAGACGGCTTATCCATAACGAGCTGGAAAAGCTTTTCAGTTCTTGATGCACTCGAATACCATCACGGAATCTTTTTTTAAAATTTGCTATGATAACACACCTTTATACATGTATAGAAATAACATCAGAATCTAAATATAGAATCTTTGATCTATTAAAAGACCCCCTCTCATTTGAGCTGTTAAACCGATTAGATTATTGAGAACATTACCACAAATTTATTACAATATCTGGACTAAGAGTATAGTGTGGGAGCTTTAAAATTTAAAAAAAAACTTGTTCACATAAGATGAAAAAATAATTTTTTAAAACAATATGTCGGGGTAGAACCATCCCAAAGATTAGGCATTTGATTATCAATTTTATGTCTAACTAAATTATTCTATAACTGAACCGAGTAAATGTTATGATTAACTATCTCGTTTAAGAGACTTACGTGTGGTTGTTCGGGATGTTTGTTTATAGGGTGAGAACTTGTGTCCATCCGAAATATTAACCCTGTATCAATTTTAATACGACCATTCTTATGGATGTCGTGTGGAGAATTCTAAATATTCATACATTGAAAAGGTAGTACACATTGTACGACGGACCCGATCTATTTTCAAAGATGTACAGCTTGCTACTATTTGTGGGATTTTAAAAGTGGGGGGCGCATAGCCTCCACGTATGTGATATAAGAAGTTTCGATCAGGGCAAACGAACCCAATGGCGTGTGGGCGCCCTTAAAACCGATCGACTGATCTGTGTCTTAAGAGCATCACTATGTGATCATAATCAAGTGTATTATTTTATAATTGAAAGATTGTCAAATAATTTTTGATTTTTCAGATGGGGTGGGGGCGCAATTTCTCGGGGCGCTAAATACGGCCCTGTTTGTGGTAGTATGCTATTACCCTTAGGACACTCAGTCTGGTCGCACACAACTTAAAGAGGTAGAAGGGGAAATCAAATAGGCACTGGCGGTCTCCATATGGAACGTTAATCATTCATTTCGCAAAACGGTTAAACCCCATATCATTCATTTCACAAAACGGTTAAACCCCATATCATTCATTTCGCAAAACGATTGGGTGTTAAACCCCAATCCACCCATTTCGCGAAACTATAAAACAGCTACTGTTCTTCACAAACTTGTTAGCTATGTATCATAGCATTCATATTGCAAATTACTGTTGAGGTTTTTTTTTTACTATTTCAGTTCAAGAGATTGGTGGACTAAGTGGCAATACACAATTACAAGGGGAAAGAGCAAGAATCCATACCCTAGCCTTTAACATAACAAGTATGGGCAAAGACGAGGAAATCAAATTAGCAGAATTGCGGTTGTACACTCTGGTTATTAGAGATAGAAATATTTATATGGGAGTCGACAGGAAAGTATTAGTATTCGAAATATTAGACCGATTTGCTTCAGAAGACGAAAAGTACAATTTGATATCTCAAAAACATGTGTACCGCCATGACAGCGAATGGGAAGTGTTTGACGTCACTTCCGCTGTGACACGTTGGGTGAGAAATGTTAATTCATTTCAGGTTTTGGAAGTGAGAATTGAGAGTGTTTTTTCTGGTGTTATCGACGGTGATATGGATATAGATGTTAATCCAATGGACAAAAATGATCCATTACTTGTTGTTTTTTCTAACAACAATCACCCCCATCAACAACATGAAAATGAAATTCAGGAGTTAATACAACATGAAATTGATAGTAATCGTGATGAAATTCGGACTGGAGAAATGGAGTCCGATCATAAACCTCAAATAAAATTGTCCAACTCTTCTCAGCATTTAAGTCGCGTAAAAAGAAGCAGATCTAAACATAACAGAAGAAACAGTTGTCGGAGAAAACCTATGACCGTGGATTTCCAAAAAATTAATCTTCATGGTGTAATAGTAGCACCCACAAAATATATGGTAAGTATTTAAATATAAGGGTTATTGACAGGTAAGCCTCCTCTGTAGTAAAACACTACACTGGTTAACCATCCTAGATAGATATATTCATCCTGTCTTATCATAGAAACTCTCCCCGTTTCTTAAATCAATTTTACAAAGTGCTGCGTACAAGGAACTAACCAGTCAAATAGCTTGTTGCATAGCTGTGAATAATACGTCGATCCAATGACGTCATAATACGCGTCACAGTTTTGTGAAGATCCGCAACCTTGTTGTGGTGACCATCTCTTCTATAGCAAACATGTTTTTCTGTATGGAAGGATAACGTTGCCAATATTATTTCATTGTTCACGGTGCAAACTGCAAATGTCAGTAGTTCAAAATACGTATTTTAGTTTTATTATTTGCAATTTCCATTGCTCAACAATACCAAAATACAGAATACACTTTTCAATAATACAAATTACAGTATAATAGTTATTTTGCACATTACACTTCTGCATTCTGCATTTTGCATTATAGACCAATGCACAATGGAACTTAGCATAGTAGAACATATACCTTATATGGGATCTACGACGTACCTCATTTGCATACGGAAAAAAGTACGTTTACGGTAATATATCCCCAAAAGCCAGCATAGGAGGCTCCTGGGTTTTTGTATCCTAGTACATGTAGTTTATTCATCCCTTGACTATGGTGGCTCTGTGAAATACAAAACATTTTACCACCAAAGCCAGTTTTGAGTGCTTTTTGGTGCAGTGTGGGCGTACCCCTTGTTTACTGAACTCGCGGTGGTATAACTCGATACGCCGACATAGAAGGTTAATGAAATTTGGCATGTTCATATCTTATGCATCTGTCGATTTGGTGAAATAAAGATCTTGGAGCCAACAAAGCTAGTTTAGAAGTTATTGCGTGCCCACTGAGCCTACCCTAACCCGTTTCCCCCACATATTTAGTACATTTACGGTAATATATCTCCAAAAGCCAGCATAGGAGGCTCCTGGATTTTTGTATCCTAGTAGTTTATTTATCCCTTGACTCTGTGAAATACAAAACATTTTGGCACCGAATCTGATTTGGGTGCTTTTTGATGCAGCGTGGGCGTACCCCTTGTTTATTGTACCTACGAACCCCGCCTCGAATCCGGGTGCTAGGAAACTTTCGGTGGTATAACTCGATACGCCAACATAGAAAGTTAATGACATTTGGCATGTTCATATCTTATCCATCTGTCGATTTGGTGAAATAAAGATCTTGGAGCTACCAAAGCTATTTTAGAAGTTATTGCGTGCCGATTCCCCCATGGTTTTAGTATGTTTACGGTGATATTTTTCGAAAAGCCAGCAGAGGAAGCTTCTGAAATTTTGTATTCTAGTAGTTTATTCATCCCGTGATTCCATGAAACAAAAAACATTTTGCTACCAAAGCTGGGTTGGGTGCTTTGTGATGCAGCTTGGGCGTACCCTTTGTTTATTGAATCCAGGATCCGGGTACTAACAACTTTGCCATGATATAACTCGATACGCCATCATAGAAAGTTACTGAAATTTGGCATGTTCATACCTTATGCATCTGTCGAGTTGGTGAAATAAAGATCTTGGAGCCACCAAAGCTAGTTTAGAAGATATTTTGTGCGCAGTGAGCCTACCCTAAACCGAATTTCCAATATTTTAGTATGTTTACGGAAATGTATCTTGAAAAGCCAAAATAGGAGATTTCTCGAATTTTGCAGTCTAGTAGTTTATTAATCCCTTGATTCTGTGAAATAAAAAAAAACAACGATTTGCCACCAAAGCTGGTTTCGGTGCGTTTTGATGCAGCGTGGACGTACCCCTTTTCTGCGTGCTCAGTTAGCCTAGTGTGCGATATATCAGTATGTTTACGGTAATAGTATTTTTTTTTCTTGGAGGTGTGGGGGGGGGGGGGGTCTATTACATATATACTTTACATTAATATGTCTTAAAATGTTGTTTTCTAATATAATTATCTAGGTTTTTATTGGCGCTAGGAATATGTGTGCTAACTTCCGTTATAGTCCGGACTTTTTTCCGTATGCAAATGAGGTTCGTCGTAGATCCCATATAAGGTATATGTTCTACGATGCAAGGTTCTATTATGCATTTGTCGGTTATGCAAAATGCAGAATGCAGAAGTGCAATGTGCAAAATAACTATTATACTGTTTTTTGTATTATTGAAAAGTGTATTCTGTATTTTAACACCGTGACATTGGTATTGTTGAGCAATGGAAATTGCAAATTATAAAACTAAAATACGTATTTTGAACTACTGACATTTGCAGTTTGCACCGTGAACAATGAAATAATATTGGCAACGTTATCCTTCCATAATTCTGGTCCTAATAATGTTAAATCCTGTTGTATTGGTCACTGTGAACCCTGTTGACGAATTGAAATTTGGCTCAGACGCTAACCATCTTAAGTCAGCTTTTCTAGTCTTGAATTTAGGTAGTTTTTGATGAATTGTAAGCAGAACAGTCCCTGAAGGTTTCGTTCTCAGGATATACTCTATTAACAGTCAGTTTTTCAAAAGATTTCTCGCATCCTAGGTGAGCGAAATCACCAAGACCCTATAGGTTTAGCCCCCCCCCCCCCCCCCAGTTCATCATTGTGCAAAACATGTAATATTAAACATACATTATGCAAGAGCTAAATCTGCCTATTGCAGGTCTTTCTTTAGGCCTGAAATGTTTTCTAAATTATTAATTAGACATTAATTAACTTATCCAGGTTATAATCAACTCTCGACGGCATCGAATTTCTCCGATATTACATAGATTATAACAGTTCAGCCATATTTTGATTTAAGCTAAAAATGGAGGAAAGAGACTTAGCTTCGAACAACCAGTACGGTGGTTGAAATTATTGCACACGTCTTGTCAAACCTTCAAGGCTAATATCTTCGCTCGCAATAGAGTGATTTGAATAAAATTTTCAAATTATTCATTTTACATTATTCATTTTCGAACTATTATAGCAAGAGTGGCTAGCTCTTTATCTAAATCTTACATAATGTATCTTTAAACGTATTTGGGTTATATATTCCTCCAGACAGTTGTCAATATTGACCAGTTCAAGTAGATACCGTATTAGTTGACATATTTCTAGTACATGCAGGTTAAATGTGATATCGTTTTAGCGAGTTATGATTGTATTCTGTTGATTATATAAAGGTTAGAAGACCAGAAACTGAACAGACTTCTAGCTCACTTGATCACATCCGTTCTATGCCTTCATATTACCTGTACTATCAGTCTATAGCTAACCTAGTTAGTCACCTGTATATAAAATACGAGTATCCGGACCAGTATTGAATGAAGAGGTCAGATCGTATCACAGTCAGCATAAGGTTGAGAATGTCGGGTATTTGGTTATAGAAGATCTTAAAGGAAAGCTTCCTCTATCTGGAACCAGGGAGTGTTAATAAACCAGCCTAGCTAGTACGCGCCATATGAAACCTAAATGACCCAGAAATTGAAAAATGACTAATTCAATTCAAATACACTAAATAAATTATCAATGCCCTTCTCCTATTGAAATTAAAGCATCACAACTTCTTTATATTGCCCACGGCTAGAAAAGTGTTCTGAAGGTTTAATATCGAAAAGAAATATCGAGAAATAATCCAATTGTGCTATTGTATGATGTTTTCCCACATTTTCATTAGTTTATAAAAATGAAATGAAATGAAGTTTAACGTTCTAATGTTCTGTCCCGACTGGGCTAATGTAGACAGGCAAACGTCATGCAGTGTGCTGTGAGGGAAATTTTGCTCGGACAGCGACACCACGGCGTACACGGGACCTCGGTTTTTCGTTCCATCCCAACGACTATACGTTGTCCATTGTCAGGCCCTCCGTCCTACACCACTGACAAGCGGGAACTATGCCGGAAAATCCCGATGAAGTTTCTCGGCCAACGCAGGAATCGAACACGGCCCCCAACGTCTTACTCACTAAGCCACCGTGGCTCCCAAGTACTTTATAATATTTGTTTCTGATTTGTATAAAAAATAAATTGTGTTTGCCATCATTAGACTATACAATAATTGCTTTACGTTTGTTCAAATTACTAGTTCCGAAATGACCTAGTTTGTGTCGAGTGGACGTTAAACCCAATCTGATTAAAACACAGATCCTATTTCATTTCGTTTTTGTAGTTCAAAATTTCGTTTTACTTGTCTTTACTACACTAGGATCTGGAAGAGTTGTTATATAACAGGCGTTCTACTTGATGTGAGGCGTTAGCCAATGAAACAGTCTGTTACGGCGAGCTTTAGGTGTGTTTTGCACGGAACTGTGGGTAATCCACTAGTAACTCTAATGCTGATTGGTTTTAAATCAAATGCCTGACGTCATAGGCTCACTTGCGGCTCGTATGACCTCTGACGTGACCTATCGCAACAACCGGTCAGATCTTCATGTAGTGTAGGCCGTCGAAAGTATTAATAAAAAACGAAACGAAATATAGATATGTATTTTAATCAGATTGCGTTAAACCCCATTTCTCCCTCTCTCTCTTGTTCAAATTACACTGGATATGCGAGCGCTCACACAAAATACCATACTCTTAAGTCATGGGCGTCGTGACGGCTTATTTTGCATGAGGAATAAGATCCCGTGGGTGCATAAAACCCCAATTGTTTTATGGCGTGGTGTCCATCTCTCATGGAACATTATGATATAGTCCATTTGTAGTATATCTGATCCACGGTATATGTTTGAAACTTGTTTATTATATATGATATATAATTATAGTTTTGAAAAGCGAATTAAAAACATGTTATTATTTCTATTTCAGAGGGGGTGCAAAAACCCTAACAGGGTTCGAAATCTTTAGACCTATAACGCAAGGCGCGTCCCTTAACTGGGCAAAGCTAGAGTCACAAGCAGTCTGAATATGAAAGTGATCGCAAAAATACGAATAACTTATTTGGGCGTCATTCGTACTTTTACAACCACAAGAATATCTTATATCGAAAAAGACAAAAACCTTTTCATGGTGATGAACTGCTCATTTTTGATTTTCGTACTAAATAAGTTCAAAATATACTCGTCAAAAAGAGAAACGTACAGCCCATTTTTCATCATTTTTTTTTATTTGAACGGGATCGTTGTTTCCATTAATCTTACTCGTTTTTAATGTCATTATGTAAGGATAAAAGAAATTTATTATTGGTTTTAAATGTAGGGTCACTAATTGTGACTGGTCGCACTTTTTGCCGATTTTTTTCCCTTGATTGCACCAAGACGCATGCATGACTTTAACAACTTCGCAAGCTTTTCTCATGAAACCCAAATCTAAGGCCTGTAAAATCCCGGGGTTCTCGGTTTCAAAATCAGTTGCACATGTAAACACTCAACGAGCCATGTGATGCCACATCTGAACGAAGAGCAACGCAAGAACGCTATCGGTCGGTTACAAACAGGTGAATCCAACCCAGACGGATGTAGCCAGGCTGTTGAACTTTTCCCAGTGTACCACTTCTCGCCTTTGGGATAGGTACCGACAGCGAAGTTCGACACACGACCGCCCAAACTCAGGCCAAACAAGAGTGACCTCACCTGCCCTGGATCGTCACATCCGGTTACGTCATTTGCGACCTCTACTGCAGCAGCAATTCCTGGACGACGTAGGATCTCAGACCAGACAGTCCATAGACGCCTACGTGAAACCAGATTACGAGCTGTTGCTTTGAAATACGCCGACACCGTCATATCCGATTTAGTTGGTTCAAACACACAGGGTATGGCCACAGCAACCATGGAGAACAGTTTGGTTCCTGTTGCAACGAGGCGATGGTAGAGTGAGGGTATACCGGCGACGAAGTTTCACTATGCTTTCTTTTTTTGAGGAGTATATTAACTGCATAGTAGCCTGCCCTGTATGTTCGTAAATATTAATGAAGGCCAATTTTTAATTTCTTTGTTGAAAATTGTCTTCAGTCAAATTTTTAGAAAGGAAACATTTAATATATGGATGAATATTGCAATGTAGACGGTGGTGAAACGAACAATGAATAGACTTTCGCCCCACTTCCCCGAGCAACTCCGAAAGCATCTTCTCCCAAACAAAAACCGAAAAGATACCTTTTCGATGACTCCGGTCGAAAACGAACCAAAAACAAAAACTCCGGTGGGCATCTGATCCGCAATCAAGCACCGTTAATCTAAATAAATTACACGCTTATTTAATTTAAATGTCAACTCTAACAAATGTATATTTACGGACATTAGAGATAATAGTTGAGGAGGTTGGCCACTGAAATTCATATACAGGTGTCCTTCCATCCAAATTTCTTCAATCAAGAATTCCTAGGCGAGGTATATATATATCGGGTAATTATAATGCAGGTGTTTGACTTGATAACATAAAGCAAAATTATACATTTCATAGAATAAAACAATTGAAATTCCTAATAGCATGTGAAGATAAACCATATCCTATAAACATTCTTTAACAGTTGGATAGAGCAAAGATCAATCTCATTATTGAAATAAGGCGTAACAGTGCTTAATATATTTTTGTTTAATGGTATATAACGATTGTGTATAGGCATGTTGAATATTTATATATAAAAAAGTGTCAGAAATAAATCAGAGAATAATCTAACTAGGTTAATGACTGCACTTTAAATCAGCATACCGATTTACTTTTATTTTAGCTGTGATAATCTCCCCACATATGTTTCCAGAACTTGAAATAATTGCGTCCTATTTTCTTAAGTTGATCTTCCAGCAATAGATGTTGAAGCGTAGGCTTATACAGCTCTTACAGGTCCGGATTTTGGTTTTGCGGGCGAAGGGTGGGGTGGGGTGGGGAGACGCATAATATGACATGAACTTTATGTCAACTGGAATAAAACTGAGAATCACCCCCGCCCCCCCCCCCCCCAACCCATGAGACCAAGTATGTGCCCTAAGGGTCACAAAAAACCACAAGAACAAAATCAATAACAATCATTATGACATGAACTTTATGTCAACTTGAATAAAACTGCTTTCCTAATATGGTATCGTGGTCTCGGAGATTGTTTAAAATCACGATTGTATGCGGTATAATATGTGCCATTTAAAATGCTAGAGTCAGTACAACACCTACAGTTCGGTAGAAGACGCAACGATATGCAGTTGCTTGACGTGCGGTTACTAGAGGTGGAGACATACGTTACTGAAGTTTAGTTCTAATTCTATTTCTCTTATTTTCAGGCTTTTGAATGTATTGGGAAGTGTTATAATCCTATCGGAGATCACCTGACACCAACAAAACACGCCATTATTCAGACGATGATGCATGGATACAATCCTAAACTATATTCCCGGGCATGTTGTGTACCAACTAAACTTGAACCTATATCTGTGTTATATTACGATGATAATGGCGTCATCACATATAAATATAAATATGACGACATGGTGGTTGGTGAGTGCGGTTGTAGGTGACCATTTTATCTAATATTTGACAATGACCGCTTTAAATATGACCAATAAATTTTTCAAATCGTAAATCCCCAAAAAAGAACTTTGGAAAGACAGTGTATTCGGTGTTACTGTTAATGATCTATGAACATTATTCGTGAGCTGTGGGGATTTGTATTCTTGGTTAATCCTGTAAGAAAACCTTCAAAGGATAATAAACCTAGACTATTGTTGTTTTTGATGTGAATTGTTCATATTATATTCTCTGTTGATGTTTCTGTTTCTGGATTATGTGCCATTTTACGTGTGAAGTCGTCAAAAGAATCCAAAAGATGGCAATTGTCATGATGCGCTGTTTGCATATTCATTTTGTTTGTATATTTATTTTGTTTGTATATTGGTCTTTGAATGTAAATATTGTCGCTGCAATTTCAATTCCAGCAAGTTCTTTACTTACCATTTTCTGAAAGCCTCGCATCGACGTTCTTGCTTTAATTAAGATGCTCTCTAAAACTCTTTGGTTTCAAAGAGGCATACCAAATTGTCTGCGATATCACTCTCGGTGGAAGCCAACGTTAAGCCCCACGAACGAACCAAGGGGAATCCGGAAAAAAGGCTTGACCCACGAATGTTTAAAGAATCCGAAAATCTTTTGTAGATTTTATGCTTTTAGACCACATTTGGTGATTTCTAACATTCAGAAAATAGCATTTAGACTATATGCCTACAAGTCAAGATGCTAAGGATCTTTTACATTCATTGGTTGTAATACGTTTTAAGGTGTATTGTATATTTGAAATTTATAACATTTGTCAAAACCCCAGATTTGGCAGGTCAGTTTCCGAAGCGGAAATGGCGGGTTGCAATATGCCGGTGTTGCCCCAGCTATAGACAGGGAAGGGGTTCTGACCATTTGTTGCCTTCGATCTTTTATCTCATTAGAAAATTAGAAAAAGTAAAGGGACTTTTTATGAAAAAATTAGGGGGCGGGGGGTGTCCCCATTGTCCCAATCTTCTTCCCGGTCTATGACTGAATTTCACTGTATAACGTTTAAAGTTTCCTAACTTGTAGTTAAGAGTTCAGTCTAAGACGCTAAGACGCTTCAAAAGATGCATTACATTGCGCAATTTAAAAAAATGTGAATAATATATTATTATATAGCTATATATTATTTATTGTTTTATGTTAATAGAAATTATTACATATTCTGTTAAAAAATTATGATACAATAATGTAAATATAATGTATATTATGTAAATGTAAAATATATATTTTTAAATATAGCAATAGATAAAATATTTGTAATATTATAGGTGAATGCACAATGAATTGTAAATGATAGACATTTAGATGTACTTGTCAATAAACTAAGAATTAAAAATCTATATTTCACTTATATATAATTGAATATATTTCTTAGAACTACAGTGGCAGTTGAGATTTAAATGGTAGAATACTAAATGGAGATATGCAATAAGAAGATTGTGCACATGTAACCATTCTCGCTTTGATCGGCAGTAAAATCTATATTACCTCGTTGCAGTATGACACGACATAATTAAAGGTTTGGAGATTAAAATACCAACAAATACCAGAACATCTCCCTCGGCACTATCAAGCCTCATTATTGCTGAAATCGGCAGTGATATGTCATCGCAAAGTCAAATATTTCTAAATTTCAGATAAAAATGAATAAAACGCGTCCATGAGTAAGCAATTTAAACATTGTTATCCTTCATGTACACTGTTATTGTGCTGCACCACCAAAGGTGTGTAAATGTAAAACATTCGCATCCCTCTCCTTTATCAATCTTCGCGCCCTTGCGGACATGTTTTAGAGAGTACTGTGACAGACGACTTATCATGGATCACCACATTAGTAGTATACATGTTATGAGACGTATTGTAAATAGCATCAGGCATCCCGATCAGGGCCGGATTAAGCAATAGGCATAGTAGGCCATTGGTCCAGGTCCACTGGCATCTGGAAGCCCAATGATGAGTTTGGCCCAGGGCCCACAAAACCTACCCTAACTGAAACATGCCCACTGATGAGTTTGGTCTAGTGTCCACAAGTAAGTAAATCTGGCCCTGATCCCAATTATGCTTCCTGGTTAGTGTGGACATGTTAGAATTATACGATATCAAAGGGTGTAAGGTCATATAATATATGTGAAATTTCAATGACAAGACTGAAAAAAGATGTTTGACTTTACATTTACTACATCATTTTTGTGACGAGCAGTAATTCCAAGGGGAATAATTTGTTTGAATTTCGATAAAATTCTGTAACAAAGTACCGGTACTCTATAACTTTCATCACATTGAACGATCATTTAGGTGCATAGAACTTAGTGACCTAAGCTGTTTTTGATAATATATGATATTGACTTTTCAACTCTGTATATACTTCTGTTTACACACGTTCTAATTAAACATGTAATTAATCCCATATATCATTTACAAACTACATATGATTTGTCCACACGTTCCGCATTAATTCAAAGGAATACGCACTGGTCAGTTAGCATGTGAGACAAAAGATTAAAGAGACAATTGCATGTATGATCATGAGTCTTATCTGTTGTCCGAAGGTATATAACGAGGAGTTTGCTGACAGTTAGGCAGAGGGGCGACGAGGAGGAGAGACGGGCAGAGAGACGGAGAGACCGGCGTATGGACTCGCCCGAGTTCAGCCGCTGCCTTGGCAAAGGGGCGGAATGGTAGATGTAATATAATTATTTACCGCCCTGATATGTTCCTTTCTTAGTCTAGTTCCCGATGTAGTTTAGTTCATGTCGTATCTATGTAACTGTTTGATATTCTGTTCCGATGTAAATAAATTATATATTTAATAAACTGATGTCTGTTATCACTAATATAATGCTACAATTCCTCCTTATCAACCACCCATATTTAATTTAAAAATCTCAAAGACTCTGACCCACAGAAAGGTTTCGGTATGAAGACTGGGCGACACACCGATGAAGACAAACTCACGAACGCCTTGAGCTGCGATCACAAGCAACTTTATTGAAACTCTGACTGAACTAAAGGGAGCAAACCTGCCCAGGCGAATAACTAACCGGGCTCTCACCAAGATACACCACAATTCTCGAACCACTGAATTTCGACGAGTAATTTGATGAACGGCTCTTCCAACTTTGTTCGCTGCTACCAAGGGAATCCCGGTCGGTTTATTTTCCTCCATTTAGGTATATGATTAAATTCAATAGGTTAACTCTATGCGTGGCCAGCCATCAAAGAGTAATCTCCGGCGAGTCCTGGCAATTCTTACCTGCTGGTGGCCGCTTGGGGGTCTGCTGCCATTGAGGCGTTCATTTGGTCAACTTTTCGTTGAAGAGCACATGTTGCAATCATGTGAAAAAATCGCAAAAAGAGACCGAGCAAATCGGCTTCGCATTGCTGGTATCACGACATATTTACTATCCAATGGCACGTCTGCTCCAACACGGATGTTGACATGATTCATGGCACGTGATGTCATCATTTGCGTATAGGACGACCTTTAATTTTACAAGGTTTGGGTGACATAAAAATCGAAGAATTTTTATGATGGGTGTGTAAAACTTCTCTCAGGTTATTCTTAAATGATTTTTTCAACCCGCCGTCGCTAGTGGCAGGGCATTTTTTAAAAGAAATTTGAAGTGGTGTTTTGAGATGGGAGCGCCTTGTGCTTTGATTTCAAAAGTATTTATTCAGAATTCTTATATACAACCATGAAGGGGATAATATGAATAAATTGGATACAGTAAGTCTTGTGCTTTGTGTCACAAGTGTGATGTTTAACTAAATATGCTACTTTCATCTCTCGAATAGTACCAAAAGCGCATGATTTTAACTTGACATTATCGGTGTTGCCCCAATGCTTCTCTATTTTTTTTTACAAAACAGTTAGGCCATGTTGAGCATTGGGGCATTTGACCCACTACTTTCTCTACTACTTTCTGCAGCCCGTATAGTTTAATGCCCTCATTGATAATTAATGTTCATCTATGTAACCTCCTTTCAGAAAAAAACCCCCAAACCATTTGATAATAACAGAAGGTCTGTATCTAATCCAACACATATTGACCTTACAACCCACAAGATGCAGTGACAGTGGAAATTGATTGATTCTTAATAAACCAGACACTAGAAGTCACTATCTTTACAACACCTAACGTTTATTGTTGACTTTCCACGAGTGCAGTTTTAACATCAATCTTGTCATTACTACAATAAGGAAAACGGTGTCTATCTGATAAAGTTCCATGTCTTAAGTGTTCAAATGACGTAAATATACGGAATCTGAAGCTGGAGGTCATTGGGTCATAATTCAAGTGAAGAAAAAGGAACCCATCCTGTTGGTCCAGCCTCCCAAATGGTGTTTGATGTTCACTTGTCTTAACTCACGTACACAGCATTCCATGACGTAATAATTCTGATAAATATCAATTTATTACGATGGATAGATTTAAATAATCAGAACCTTATCAATGCAAATAAAATTAAAAAATATATAACTGCGTTTAACTAAGGAATTGCATGTCAACACAAACATCTGGGAAGCATCTCGTGAATATTAGATCAAAATATTACCAACCGGAATCCGGAGCTACAAAAGAAATGAAATGAAATGGGGTTTAACGTCCTACTGTTCTGCTCCTATACTAGGCTAATGAAGACGGGCATACCCTAATACAGTGTGCTATGAGGGAAATTTTGCCCGGGCAGCGGCACTATCGCCTACTCTTATATCGAATTCCAACTGTCAAGGGATCTTTTATGTGCATTCTAATGTATACACGGGACCTCGGTTTATTTTCGTCTCATCCGAAGGACTAGACAGCTGTCCTTGTCAGGCCCTCCGTTCTGCACCACTGACAAGGGGGAACCACGTCGGTAAATCAGGATGAACTTTCTCGGTCAATGCAGGGATCGAACACCCGACCTCCAGGCTAGCGAGCCAGCGTCTTAACCACCTAGCCACCGTGGCTCCGACCTACAATAGAGACGAATTTATATTATGTACATTCTTTCATTTTGATCATTTATATACATAAGTATTGTGATATTTGTTCTTAATTTTATAAATTATCTTTGATTTTCTTTTCTTGTTATGTATATAAATATATTTCTGGGATCATTTGTCTCGTTGCGACCACCATATGCAGGGCGCAATAAATCCCGATTGGAGCTGACGTGCCCTGAAACTCAATTTCATTCACCCATTCATTCAGTCACTCACTTCGGAATGTAATATACAATCATTTTTTCAAATTTCTTGTTTAACATTGATCATGTGAGTTTAATAATTCGTTGTTGATTTTCTGATATCAAACTACTTTTTTTTCTTAAAGAAATGAAATGAAATGAAATGGGGTTTAACGTCCTACTGTTCGGCTCCTATACTGGGCTAATGAAGACGGGCATACGCCATACAGTGTGCTATGAGGGAAATTTTGCCCGGGCAGCGGCACTATCGCCTACTCTTATATCGAATTCCAACTGCCAGGGGATCTTTTACGTGCATTCCAATATCTACACGGGACCTCGGTTTTTCGTCTCATCCGAAGGACTAGACAGCTTTCCTTGTAAGCCCCTCCGCCCTGCATCACTGACAATTGGAAACCACGTCGAAAAATCGGGATGAACTTTCTCGGCCAATGCAGGGATCGAACACCCGACCTCCAGGCTAGCGAGCCAGCGTCTTAACCACTTAGCCACTTTTCTTAAAGAAAAACCTAAAGACGATCACGGTTGTACATACTAGTGATTGTCATTTTATATCTCTATATTCATTCTTAAACTAATGATCAATTCCTACCATTAACAAATGTTTGAAATAACAATCGCCGGGGGATACTAAAAAGAACCGGGTACTCCACCAAACATTGTAAGACCGAGAAATCAATCCTAGCAAATATAAGAGTTGTTTCCCCTGTTACATAGCTAAACAAATCTTTCTGTCAATTCTCAAATGTTTTAAACTTATTGTACAGATGCGACTTATAACATCTGTATAATTAAACGTTTGCCCACGAAGTGCATTTTTTTGATATCTTCATATTAGGTTGTAGTTGAAGGAAAAGATAGAAACTGGTCCGCAGCGAATATTCACTCCGCTATGGAAAATCTTGAAGCTATGTGTAAGCGACCATCAAACCCCATATAATCATTAGTCAGACAGAACTCTCAGACGTAACACAAGTTAAAGTTAAGTGGGTCTTTGGAGACATTCGTCATCTTGCCTGTTCTTAAGAAAAATACACATTGGATGTTGTTATTGAATCCCCTCGTAGCGAATACAGTAATACAGCCTGACGTTAAGAATGACTATTCTTTCCGAGTTCGTACGGTAAACTAATCTAGGTTGTAACCAGACTTCATTATCTACGCTCCCAGTCCACCAAGATTACTTGATAATCAAATAAGACACTCTCGGGAGAATATCAGCAAGCACTGGAACCGTGGCAAACCCAGCATTGATCTTCGTGAGCTCCTATCAGTCTCAAATCAGGGACGAGTTTTTATGAGTTTAAACACTGAACTAGGGGGCAATCAGACAAAACATTCATAAGATCAAATACGTTCCCCCGTCATTCAACAAAATATAACAATTTCGTCTTTTACTGATAGACCTGCTCCTTGATCAAATGTTGACGCTTTCCAAAAACTTGAAGTGGCCACCTAAAGGCAATCCACGTTCATCTAACTTTATTACTTATCCATTAGTGTATGTCAAGCTGGACACGCGCGGCAAGCAATAATGAGCCGAGGGCTTACTGTCAACAGGAGGCCAAATCAAATTTGAAGGAAGTGCTTTTGATTTGCCCCGATCAATACCGCTTCCTTATGATTGTCTGTTTAAGTTTTTCTAAGCCCGAAGTCGCAGTTCTCATTGCGTGTTCGGCATACCACCATCTTTCCCAACTAAACCATGGATTATGAAGAAAAGCTGGATGGTTTGGTCAACACGGCGTACATTCAGAAACCATGTTCCAAGATAAGGTGTTACAATAGGTTTGTTTAGATACTAAAATAGAAATGAGATAATTGCAATGATTATACATATGACTGTCCTATAAGTACACATTGGTCACTGTATAAAAGATATCGTAATACTTGTTCTCATTGTGATTCATACTGAATCTCATCATCAACTCCTTGTTGACTTTTGGAAATAACATTAACATTTTTTTTAAAAGCATACATGATTAAATGTACAATTAAAGTCCACGAAACTGTGATAAAATATTGGAAATAATTCAATACAGATAAAATATTGAGTGTGAAAATTGGTACTAAATGAAGATAAGCAATTTTGTTTGGATCGTCTACTAAAACATCCTTCAAAATACGTAAGCATAGTTATGTCATAATCAATAGGTTTTGGTTTTCGGTTTCAGTTAAAACCTACGCTGATGTCAAAAGTTGTCCGTATACATATTAGGGTACTTTTATTCCGTAACAATCGTCGAATATTCCTACCTAGCCCAATGTAAATATATTGGAATAGAAGTGATTATTGCCGTGTAATACTGACTTCAAGCGGAAGGGCAACATTTCAAGCATTTTTTAAAGAGCGACCCCTCTATGGGTGATTTTGAAAGTGATTTATTAGAAACTCTTTTGGAAAGGAGTAGGTGTTGTCTTGTTCCCACAAGTAATGGACTTCTACGGTCTGAATGATAATATGGTAAATCGCGTTGAACCCGATTTACTTGAGTCTACAATAGCTTTTAATGTCCATCAGACCAATGTTCTTCAATCAGACACCTTTATAAATATACAATGAATACAATGAATAAAAATATACAATTAATATATGTAATATACAATGAATATAAATCTTGATTTACAATCAATGCATATAAACATACAATTTACAATCAATACATATAAACATACAACTTATAAGTTGTATAATGTTTATTCATTTATGCACGTAACTTTTAGGTCTCATTGCGTCATTTTAGTACAATGGGGAGCAGTGGGAATCCCTTGCAAACTACAATATTGTAAAAGATGAATCTCTAATAGAAATATATGTCCAAAAATGTCTCAATTCCGTTCAATATATATTTACAAATAATATAAAACCAAGTACGAACAATCCAAACCATTAGACAAAATTCGAAGTCCTAAAGAACAGTTTACACGAAGAACAGTTTCGATGGGTGGGTAGGGGAGGGGGCTGTTGCCGTGATAACCGTGTCTATAACTTACTGACGTTTTTGTTGTAAGTGATCATCGCGATGTATTGTTTAACATTTTAAAAGTTTACCAAACAAAATCAAGATTTCAAGGGTAGCTAATCACTTGGTTTGGATTCAATCGGATTAAAAAAGGTCCACCAAACGAATTTAACGAAGATTATATGAAAACGAGACAATATTTGTGATTCGAAAATATCGATAAGATTCTTCCTAAACTCTGATCTGTATCGCTTAAGTAGCTGTAAATGTCAAAATGTAAATGGGGATAGCCGTGCATAATTTTATTTACAAATATTTAAATAGAATATTCAATTATTAATTGATTTTACCATTTAAATTATATAAATAATTTATATCCTGTAAAAATATAAGCTTATTTGCATAGCTGCTATTTCAGATTTTACTTATATTCATGTTATTCTTATTATCCCTTTCTTCTTTTAATATGCATGTCAGGATATTCGTTTTGATGTTATGAATATTCATAATCAACGCCACAATAAATTTGATTTTCTGTTCTTCGGGAACACCTTTAAAATGTCCTTATTTTTTCGGGGAAAAAATCTTATTTAAAAATCAAAAGTCCTTGATTGTGTTGTTCAAAAGCTTTCTGTTCCAAATTTTAAAGTTATGAAATTTTAACAAAACATCTTTCACGTTGTTATTGTTTAACGTATAATACATGTACATTATATTATGGACAGGTTGATTTAATAAAGATTATTTACATATGAAGGACTAATAAAAAAATAATTGGTAAAAGAGTTCTTATATCTTTCAAATGATCCGAGTGGCTAAACCTATATATTTATCAACATCCCGTCTTCATTAGCCCAGTCGGAGCAGAACAGTAGGACGTTAAACCCCATTTCATTTCATTTTCCTTTATTTATCACGACCATGAAGAACTGAAAATAAAATTGGTGGGCTTCACTAATAATATTACAATATTGGTTCAATGCATTTCCTTTTAAAGAGATGAGTCAGTTAAAAGGATGGGACGATCCATTTTCAACCCCATGAGTTTGTGTAACTAATATTAAGACATGTTTGCATCTCTGACATAACCCTTAACACGGGACTATCACTAAACAGTACTTTCACAGTTTGTGGCCATGATTCGGGTCAAAGATACTTGGAAGAAATATCCCTAGCATCGCGGTAAATGACAGTCCAATTTCGTTTTGAAACCTCTTGAGACGAGGTGCTGGCAATAACCATACTATTAAACCTACTTTACAGTCCCAGCTCTATCATATGATTGCTGGCTGATAGAGGCACGTTTACAGAACCCCAACATCTCTCAAATTGAAACAATATTTTCTTCTCTTACACATTCCATCGCCAATCATCAGAATTACAGCCTCAAAGTCAGGAATGTAATTCCACAAATCCAATTTTACCTTGTGAATCATGCAAAAACTAGTAGAAGTAATATTGCTTATAAATTGGAGATTTGAAAACCCTTTTAACATCGCACGTAGGACATATTTACAAGATGAGACTTTTAGATATTGCATGACTTGTCACAAACCTTGTTAAAGATGGCTATTTCAGAAAATGACAAGTTCTCTGTATCTTTATTTTCAGGATGGAAGAAAAAAGATGCCTTTGGTCTTTCTGTTAAGAAAAAAACAAGAAACAGAATTATATTTTATTCCAAAAGTCAAAACTCTAACATCTCGTTGCAACTTCAAAAGATTTGAGTTTTCTTCTTTTTTTCCCTAATGAATTTCTTTGTGGCATCATAAAACAGTTGATGTGATAAAATATACTAATTTTGTTTCTACTTTGATCAGGATCAATGTGGATTTTATGTTGTTTCAATCTCTCAGTATACAGATATGGCATTCATTACCGCTTTTTAAAAAGGCAGAGATCATAATCTGAATAATTATATCGCGACCTAGTTTGTACTTCCCAACATCCATGTAATCAGCACATTAGGCCAAGAAAAAAAACCCACCTAAGTTTACGGTTACATGGACCTAAAAACTAGTCTGTCAGTCGGAAAATCTTTTTAGTTATTTTTTTTTTTAAATTATTTATTTTTTCGTGGGGTTTGTTTTATCTATTTCCTAGAATTTGTAACTTTAATTAATGAGTAAGGTTCTTAAAAATAATACCGAAATCACACTAAGATCAACTAGTTTAGTAGTTTAGAGTCGCGGATTTTGGCTATTTAATAGGCTAATTAATAAAAATGCAGGTATTTTAATTTTTTATTTTGGCCTTAAAGATTGGTATCCTGAAGTGATTGGGATCACGAAATACAACCAGTATATATATATTCTGATCTATCATCCTGAATATTTTCGTTAAGATCTAATATCTGATAGTGAGAGCGAAAAAGTTTTAATTTGAGATAAGATTTTATTGTCCTTAAAAGGACAAATCTCAGAAAGATTTCAATGAATACTATACCACCGGTAAAAGTATATGCCCTTGGGGTGTTTTGGAGGAAACCGAAGGACCCGGAGCACCCCCCACCCCCACCCCCTAAAGTAACCATATTATAGTACGCTGTTTCTGGATAGACATAATATCTACAATAGTTAAGACGATTGCACTTCGACACATCCCCAATGTGTTTTGATCAGTAAACTTAAATGTTTCAGGTTATTGAACGTTTTTATTATCTTTTGACAAAATATACATCCGGTATTGAATAGTAGCGTTTATCAAGGCATCGAATGATTAATTAAAGGGAATGAAACTTACAGGAAAGTTAAAACGGTTATTGCTTCACACTATGATGTTAGACATTTGATACGATCATCAGATATCATTTGTTACAAATATAATTTTTAAAGGGGAGAATTTCTTTTTTTTTATTCAATTTCCGCTTAATTAGCATTTTAATTTTTAAAAAGAAGGAATTTCTTTTTTTAGACTATTAATAAAATAATATTAAACGAAATTTTTTAAATGAATGAGATTGTATGAATATAAATGGAAAATGTTTTTTTTTGTTTTTAAAGATTTTATTTCCTATATTTAGTTTGAATGTAAAAAATAAAATAATCAAAAGGTTAAAGTGAGAATAGACCAGGAAGATCTCAAAGATAAAACGCACAATATATTTACAATGACTAGATTAGACAATAAACTATTCATATTTCTACATCTGACATTTTGCATGTTGCCGTAGTTGTGGCGGTCTATATTTGTACATTAATTAAAGGACAATCATCATCCCTTTTGATCTCAAGTGGTTTTTTGACGATAACGATAGCTTTTTTTTCCCGACAATTTTTCTAATCAAATGCAGTGATTGTCTTGATTGCTTGTTTTTTTTTTAACGAGTAGTATTTCTAGTTAGATATGAGTGGATTATTTGTTTCTAGTAAATTTTAAACCGTCTTTATGTCTTTATATACTTGATCTTTTTTGCTTGTTTTTTTTTAACGAGTAGTATTTCTAGTTAGATATTAGTGAATTATTTGTTTCTAGTAAATTTTAAACCGACTTTATTTCTTTATATACTTGATCTGAGAGACAATTGCTGAAGTAAGTTGGAAGTAATATCTTGTAATTTTAAAGTTTATCAAATTTGTAAATATTGGCGAGCTACGGTGGCTAGGTTAGCATGGCATTAGCTCATTGACGGCACGTTAAAGGATATCTGACAATTCAATAAAGTAATTGAATGTCATTAGATAAGAGAACACGAAAAAAATAGAAATAGTCGGTACATTTCCTTGTTTTTATTCATTCTATACCTTATAAAAACATGGTAATGCACGGACATTTCCGTTTTTCTTTCGTGATCTCTTATCTAGTGGCAGTCAATTCTTTTTATGAATTGTCAGATATCCTCTCACAGTCTCACACAACAACTTTTGGTTTTCGAAGGAATTATTAGTTAGCAGAAATACGGCCGTGTATCTGTTTTCACTCGTCGCTTCAGTCAGTTATATAGAGGGATAACTCGTGTTTTCCTTTGGCGTTCGTCACTTCGATTCATGACACCTGTATTACTCATCTATCGTAGCAATGATCTCTGTGTTAAAATTATATTTGGAATGTGTTTAACCAGTTCTATCACATAATATGTGATAATGACTGACACCAATATTGTCCTTTAACTATTCATCCGCAGTTGAAAATCAAAATAAGAGCAGACCGTCAGCACACTGCACGAGGTATGGCCGTCTTCATTAGCCCAGTTGATGCAGAAAATAAAGATGATAAACCCCATTTTATTTCATATATAACTATAGGAAACAAACTGACCGGACAGTAAGACAACCCAGAAGTTTAGGTTCGGGTAGCCAAGAATGGAAGCATTTACTGCAGTGCCAAAAGCCCAATGTGGTCATTTGTAAATTAATCAAATTGATTTTGAAAATTGTAAATGGTGCACAGCTACTGCAAAGATAAGTTTAGTTTTTAAATATCTCCGAAACAGCAGTAGTTTGATTGATTATGGATTAAGTTAGTTATTGGTCATGGTTGTCACGTTTTCTAGAATTGCGAACACGATGACATTATAATTGTATGTCGTCTTGGAAATTTTAACATCAACCCCCGAGGAAGTGTAGTATAACAAACAATTGG